ATTATATAATAACAGCTGTGGTAATCTCTACTGTCCTGAATTCCATCAATTTTCGGAAAATAGATGTTAAAAAAATTGTTTTTTTTTACAGTAGTGGGTGGTGAAGGGAAATGAACAGAGAACTTCTCATTTGGTGAGTTTTTACATGTTTCACAAGATAAAAAAGATATTTTTATTTAAAATATTCAAATGCTTTAATGCGTGTACATATATTATTCATATTTATCTATAGTAATACAAAAATCTGCTAAAAGAAATACAGTAACGCGTCGTCTTTTAGCTTGATGCGCAAAATTATGCACAATATCGAAATTAGATGCATATTTGCAATGCTTAAATGATACGCAAAGTATATTGCCATAAGCGGAGAAAAATCCGCGATCTACTAATCGTTCCTGGCGCGTAGTCACCCCAGACAATGGAGTTCCATTCCTGGGATTCTCTTTGCGTTGAACGGTTCGCTGGCAACCGTTGGCCACCGGAACTGTCTCGAGAAGTCTGACAACGTCGTTGCCTTTTCCACTTGCACTGAGTACTCGCCATACAGAAGCAGACTCTCGGAGCTTCTTGGTAGTTGTCAGGCGAACTCGTCCGGATAATCCTGTTAACAAGAGAGTATAGTTGATCCTTTGATAGTTAACGCGTGGGGTTTTAGGGAACTTGCGAGATTTGCCTAAATCAAGTGGCGTGCGCAGCGCGAGAAGCTGTCTAAGAATTTGTAGAAAGAAACAGTCTCATATCATAAATTCAATTTGCATTTGCCGACTAATTTAACCCTTAACGCTTTAAGTTTGCCTCTCAAGCACCCCCCAACTACTACACAATTATAATTTAATATTGTAATCAAAATGATGTTACTCCTGATATGAATAAACATTGTTATGAATAACATTAATATTATTTACACGCCATTGTAGCAATTAAAATCTGACACTTGAAAATTTGCAAGTCGAAGTATGATGAGAATAAGTTGGAGTTGCCGGTCGATGTTCACAATTAAAAGTCCGAGCGTTAAGGGTTAATAAGACAGTCTCTTAAAACTCGGGATTATCTTAATTGTAAAACTTCATTTGTAAGAATTACAAATTTGTATTACGAAATCCGGTAAATTCGATGTTGGAAGATGGATGAAGATACGAAATTCGGTAGAACGTTCTGATATGGTAAACCCTAAGCAATTTCATCATCGTCAATCCCGATTAATTCGAGCGTTCTCAGATTTCCGGCATGCCCGGCGGCGGACGCGGTGGGGAGTTTGTAATTGAACAGAGTCCAATGCATGTCGGATGGCCAGAATTTTCAGCCCGGCCGGCTAATTCGACGCGAATCGATGTCTCGTCTCGAGTCGAATACGTTGCCAGACACGATCCGGAGTACAGGTTTAGCCACATTTCAGGCGCTCCTACGCAGCTCCGGTAAACTGATTGGTCTTGTTCTCGCGATCGACGCGTTCGGCTTAGGATTATTTAGGGATCGGGATTGAACGTTGATTCGCAACCGTCTGTTCGTGCTCGAAGGAACGTTTCTTAGATTAGAGATCCCAGCAGCCGATCTTATCAACAGACGGAGAGATAACGCTTTCAAACAAGCTTCCTGGCTTCCACTCATGCACGATGTAGAATTAATCGCATAATCAGAGTTTATCAGTACAATTCTATTGACTTGATAAATTACAGAGTATAAAAAATTGAATGCACTGATTGTTTAAACGATAGAGAAAATGTTACATTTATGTATCGTCCGTCCTTTGGTTTTTGTGAATAACGAGAATTCTCATTTGTACTAAAGATAAATCGCATTGCGCGCATTGGATCGAAGCCTGGGGTCGCCAGTCATTGGGAGGAACGGACGTTAGGACTCGATTCGCGCGAGTTATTCAGAGGTTTATGCGTCTCGATGGCATTGTGTCTGGCGTCCATTATTTCCAGCAGCAGCGATAGGTCGTGCCAAAGTGGCCTGGCAGCTTTGAAACGTGAACACACGCGCTCGAATTATGCAGCCTTTACGGCTGACTCGTACGAGGTCATACCGCCGGCTGATTCTCCCTCTCGCTCTCTTTAGTTTTCTCCGTTTCGCGATCAACTCTCTGAACGAGACTCTTACAATTCCCAGCTCGAACAACACAATGCATACAGAGAGGGTAAACTACTTTATGTCGAGTTCACCAGGCCTGGGGAAATTGCATTTAAAGTGAACCACCCACTCACTCTCTCCCTCTCTCACTCATTCTCTCTCTGTCTTACAACTTTGGACAGTTTATTGTAATCGTTTGATTTATATGAAAATTGCTGTGATCTCTCTCAGGGTTCATGCATCACAATTTATATCATGACTCCGTCCAAAGATTAACTAACGATTTCTAAACGAATTCTTATGAATTGAATTTGATTCATCATCCCTTGGAAAAATCTCGGAAAACTCGAAAATTTTTTTGTTGTTGTTTATTATTAGCAATGTTCTTCCGACGTCTGATTTCTTTTTAAAAAATGCGTTTCTAAAGTGCATAAACTTTTGGGATTGACTGTATAGCCAATACATCTTTAAGAACGAAGCGATCTGAAAAACAGATGCCTCGCTGCATCTCCGCTTTCAATCTTGGCCTATAATAAACACGACTACCGCCACAATAAATTTATAATACTGACAACGTGAACTCAATGTGAGTCTGTTTTAAAACGTGCGAAATTCCGGTGATCGAAGAAATGGAAGCCGCGAAAGTGGCGAGCGTTCTCAAGCCAGGAAATGATCGTGGGGTAAACGCAGGACAGAGTGTAATTACACCGAGGTTTACCGGGCCGAGCGGCGGCGGCGGCGGCGGCGCGCGGCCAGCAAGATTGGAAATCCCGTTCGGCGACCCACCTACGTACTATTAAGTGCTCACCTAGCTGGATCGTGCACACGCGATTCAGTGGATCGTTGTAGATAAATTTCTGCAGATGCCCGCTCCCCCACCGATCGTAATCCCCTCGATTACACGGACCGACCGGCTATGGAAAAAGTAATTGCCGTCCTAATGAGTGATCGCGATCGGTTTTCGATTTTATTCAAACGGGACTTGGTGCGCATTGCCAACAACGGATAACAAATCTCCTTCTCGTTTAGAGCTCGTTTGCTAGTGGGAATTACTGTGATTATTGATTATGCGATTAATTGTTAATGCATTTTTATATATTTTCTACATTTTATTATCAAACAACGTGAATAATTTTCTTTCTATTAGAAAAGTTGCATAATTTTTATTTGCTACAGGCAATTCTTATTAATTATTTACAATTAATTATTTACTTTATGCGTCTTTAAATTTTCTCTGAAAAGAAAACTGCAATCTACTATTAAGCGAATCGCGAGATAAGCGGATGGCCGACCGATCTCAAATTTCCTTCTCGCATTAGCATACGCGGACGTGGACAATAAGCACGCGTGCGACAGAATAAAAACGTGATTAAACAGTGGCTCGGGTCCGGTAATCGCGGCTCGTAAATAAAACTGCATTTCGCGCGAATCACCCGGCCGTGACTAATGCGTAGCCTCGTTAGACGCGACGCTGGGCCCGTCGCCGGATTACCGGCGTCTTTTGTGCTCGCATCAACCGGAGAAGAAATAGAAAAGCAGTTGGGCCGAGTTCACTTCCTTAGATAATAAAAACTTTAAAGGAAGGAAAAATGTGGGAAACGAAAAATGAAGTGCGACGATCTTTGTACGAAATACTCAAATTAAATCCATGCTGATTAATAGATTTTTATGCAAACTGTTTAAAAAAAATTCTGGAGGCATGTTCAATGATCTCAATTTCAATAAATTGAAACGAAATATCAGATTAGTATCGAATGTGACAATCGAAGCTGGATTATCGCAAGGTATCAGAGTATCGAAGTTGAGCAAGAGACAAACTGCTTAACAGAGCCGCAAGCATCGTCCCTCGGCTACGTGACTAAAAGCAGAAATTCGGATAGTTTCACCGCACCCTGTCCGATTCCCCCCGCGCTTTACAACGTAAGTTCCGAGGCTCGTCGTCGCAGCCCCGGGCGGAGTCTTGGCGGATGCTGAACGGAAACACGGCGCGGCGTGGCGGTAAGCTACTCCAGCCGCCGGCGATATTCGAGCTTTCCGCTTGAATTTATACGGGGACCACCACTAGCCCAGGCGTCGCGACGCGCGATCTTCAAGACGTTGACTAATTGCACGGACTCTCGACGAACTGGCTATGATTATTCCGCTCTGTACGAGAATTACTGACAGTTAATTGCTATCGTTTGGTTTCGTCGATAATTGCCACGAATTTCGAACAGTCTGACGCTTCGCATAATCAAGATTAACTGCGTTTTTCTTTTAGGAATTTGCATTTATGTACCTAATTTATATGTTATTAGATGAAAAACAAAAAATTATTCTCAAGCTATGTGTCTCACGTATATAATGAAAAATTCTATGAGGATAATTCTGTTATATTAAACTGCAGACGATTTTAAATATTAAGGAGACGCATATGAGATGCAGATATAGTACGTGAAATGAATTATAGATTTTGCTTAGTAGGGTATGTGGAAGTTGGGTCATAAATGGGATTGCAATTTGGAAGTTGGTCTAAGTTCGCCGTCAAGTAGCGTGACAGTGCATAAAGGGTATTAAGCGGAAACTGCTTAGGCGAATTTGTCCTTATGCTGCGCGATATTAGATAAGAGGAGAGCGGAATCTTGATAAGTGACATTTAATGCGGAGCACTGCGTGTCTCCGAACGAACATTGAATTCCCGCTTGTTCTGGAGACATTAGGCGAAGCAGAGAAATGCAATTAGCTGAATTACAGAAACATCTCGCATCCGTCTTCAAATATTAGTTCGCATCGTAAAATCCGGAGAATATTCGACAAGATTGAATAAAATTATGTCAAAAACATTTGTTATTTTAAAAACCGATTTAATTGATTTTACTGAATGCGATTTTTACTGAAACTGAGTTGCGATCCCTGAAGAATGACGTGAAGATAATCAAATTAGTTTCAGAGAAATAGACTGACTTCCGATCGGTGTAAATACGAAGGAGGTTATTTATCAGAAAATACATACCGTGGTATCTTCGACGCAACTGTTGATTGACGAGGGGAGTCACTTCTGACGGTAGATTTCCTCGGATG